AAACATAAATCATATGCCCATAATTGTGTGCAAATTTAATAATGTCAAGCTTTTGTTAGTTAATCCAAGCGTATGGTGAAATGCATTGTTTTAATAAGTTTGCATATTGTTCTCAGATGAATTCTCTGTATATAATGCCTTTTTGTTGGTGTTGTTTCTATTATCTCTTTCAAATTTATTTCCAGGCACTATTCATTTTTCTATCTATTTGGAAGCCTGTAAAATGGAAAATGAATTTAGCTCCTGTTTCCTTCAAATAAAGAGAAGGAAAAATCCTCATTTCATAAATTGCACTCTAAGGTAAATTGAATATTTATGTAGATACATAGATTTTCTTGAAGTTATCCTATGCTTAATCATTTCCATAGCAGCTTTTGGAGCAAAACTGAATGTGTTTCATAAATAGTCAAATACAATATAATAAGCAGGTCAAGTCACATACTATTTTTCTCTTTGTTATTGTGATTAAATTCACAAATTCAGACTCAGACTCCAACCCCCACTCACCTGTAGCAACTTAAACTAAATGAGTTATAGGAGACATAGAACATAAAGCTTAGAAAAGAAGGCAGGACGCTGGCATCTTACAGCTAGCAATACTTTAGTTGGGAGGAAAAATTAAGAATGTTATATTTTTTGCTATAAAATATTTATTTAATATCTTATTTAACATCTACATGAGACCACTGGGTGAGGTGATCTGACAGTTTAGGGTGAGGTATGATCAGTATGCTGATGATACCCAGCTTTATATCTCCATCATGGGCTGCCTGAGTGATGCTGTGGATGTCCTGTCTCAGTGCCTGGAGGCTATAGGGACCTGGATGGGCACTATGGGCTTCAGCTCAACCCAAGCAAGACTGAGTGGCTTTGGGCACTCAGGCATTCCGGCACCAAGGTTTTTCCACCTCTGGTTCTGGATGGGGCAGCACTGCCTCAGATGGACCCGGTGCACATCTGGGGGTCCTCTCAGACTCACGGCCCCTGCTGGAAGAACAGGTGATAGCGATGGCCAAGAGAGCCTTTCCACACCTTTGGGTTGTGTGCTAGTTGCGTCCATTCCTGGACTGGGAAGCTTTGCTCACAGTCATTCATACCCTCATGCCCTCCCGTTTAGACTACTGCAACACACTCTACATGGGACTGCCTTTGAGGAGCCTTCAGAAGTTTCAGCTGGTACAGAATGCAGCTGCACAGGTTGTAAATGGTGTCAGCTATTCAGCACATGTAACACTACTGTTTTGGGGGCTTCATTGGTTGCCAGTGTGTTTCCGGGTGCAATTCAAGGTGCTGGTAGTCACCTTTAAAGCCCTCCATGGCTTGGGACTGGGTTATCTGAGGGATCAACTTCTCCCATTTGTTTCTACCTGTCCAATCTGGTATGGCAGGATGGGTATGCTCTGAGTCCCATCAGCCAAGGAATGCCAGCTGGCAGGGAACAGGAGACATGCCTTTTCTGCCATAGCCTCTGCCCTCCGGGACATCCTCCTTCCTGAGATTCCTGCTGGCTTTTCAGAAGGCCTTGAAGACCTGGCTTTGTGCCTGGGGCCCCGAGTGTGTGAAGGGCCCCATTTCCTGGTTATGCACAGGAATGGATTATAATTTTCTCAGCTACTGTATGTGTGTGTGTATATTTGTATTGTATTGTATTGTATTGTATTGTATTGTATTGTATTGTGTTTGTAATTTAGTTTTAATTGATTTTATGACTGTTCACCACCCAGAGTCACTTGTCTGAGATGGGTGGCCATATAAATTTAATGAATGAATGAATGAATGAATGAATGAATGAATGAATAAATACCATATTTTTGTACATATGTACTATGCTAATCCTAGCATAGTTTTACCTGTGCAAAGAGCGGATGGCTTGCCCATGTAACGTGTGCTCTTCTCTGGTATTATGGTATAATGTACTATAGTGGATAATGTGTGGGACTGGCTCTGGGGATACCCAGGTTCTAGCTCACCCTCAGTCATGGAAGATCACTGGGTGACTTTAGGCCATTCACTTTCTCTCAACCCAGCCTATCTCACAAAGTTGTTATGTAGAAAAGTAGGAAGCACTATATATGCCACCTTGAGCTCTTATGTGAAAGGCAGGATATAAATCTAACAACCAAATACACAGTTGATGTGTGAAAGTAGGGACACTTCTAAAAGAAATGGCTTCTGCCACCAACAAGATGCTGTGCAAAAAAATTCCAGTCCAAAGCAGGACTACTATTAGCTTGGATTTTGAAATAAACAGAATCAGTTTTGTTATCTCAGAGCTATCTTTTTTTTTTTTTTTTTT